AGATGAGAAATAGTTTGTCTGTGCGATATTCGAGGAAGCGTAGCATCTATCGGTTTGATCCGTACAGATGCTCTGAAAAAAGTTATAGGTGAGGAATTCTGAGGTTGATACAACTAGGTTGTTTTATAAGTCTTGCACGAAGAAATATAAAGAATTTATATGAAACATTCAAAAAGTTTTCGATTCTAACGTACACTGAATGCTCTAATGTATCACGCATATCAGATTTTTTGGATGAAAAGTTGAAAAGTTGAATAAGAATTTGTGAACAATTTAACTACCAATGGAAACGTTCAGTCAACACGAATCTTTTATAGATGGATAGAACATATGACGAAATTCAAAGCAAGACTTAAATGAGATCTGGTTAGGCTTTAGTACGGAAATAAAAAAAATGCTTTTCAAGTATTTCTTCAGATCAACTTAGCTTACCATTGACATATGGCATCAAAAATTTTGCTTCGAGGACTTTTGGAAAGCACCAAGTTTTTCCTAACTATTATAATTATCAAACAACTTCACAAGGCATGAGATTCTAAATTTTTTTGAAAATTTGGTGCGAGACTTTTGAATCAAAAAAATTTCACGTTTTACCTTTTTGCCTTCGAAGTTGGTGTGATGGAGCAGGCAGAGGAGCAAAGCGATAGCGGGTTTTTGGCCGCACCTGAGATTTTGAGTTTTTAGAATAACACAGCTAAAGAAAATAAACGTATTTTTACTTTCTGGAAGTGGTGTTAGTGTAGGTTGTGGAGTGAGAGAACAATCGGTATCGAATGGAGAACATAAAACTGTTGATAAACGTGAATCCAAAGTGCTCTGCTCAGACCTGGATAATAACTATTTTTTTGTGGAAATTTTGATTTTTTACATGAAAAAATTTCAAACCTGCTTGTAGTGTTTGCGTCTTCCTTACTTTCATCGCTAATTCGCGTATGAAGCTGTGCTTTCACCATCAGTAACTGCTGAGACAGCTAGAAAATTTTATTTTACGAAACAAAACCAGATTCTAAAACTTTATGAATTTTTAAAAAAATTCCTACCTTGTCGATCTCGTCCTTCAGTCGATGTACGTCTACAGATCTGTTCGATGGTGCATACTTGTTCGGCACCGGTGGTGGTGCCTGCGAAGGACGACACCTTGGCAGCGTCCTGCTCTGTTGCTTCATCGAAACAATCCCATTACTGTAGTTATACTGTACCTGGTGAAGTGGCAATTGAAATTCGAGGGCACCGGATGCTCTTAACTGGTTAATCTGTTCAAAAAAATCAAACTCAAACGCCTGAAGAGTAAAATAAAATTAGCACACTGAAACTTATTGGGAAAGCTGGGTGAAAAATCGATGGATATTCCGAACAATCTTCTTGGAAATACGATTTACCTTTGTAAATCAAAGCTGTCTTAGCTGACCTACAATATCATAAATATAGATATTTGTAAGGAAAAAGTCGAGTAGAAAGAAAATCATATCTGCTCGCATCTGCTCGATCACCACGAAAATTTCCCAGTCAGAAAAATTGTCATGACTAAGCAAAAGTGTATGAAAATTTAGTGGACGTCTTAGTAAATTTAGAAAGCGAACTGAAAGTGTTTTTCTATGTTAACTTTTATCATTGTAGGGCAGTAATAGCTTGAAGTACTTTTGAGAAGTACAGGACTTACTGTACCTATTGTATGTCAAGCGAAATTTCACTGAATTCTGAAAAGATAATGAGCTTTTCAAATTTTTGATGCAGAACTCATATATCCATCTAGTAGTATGATATGCTAAGTTTTTTTCCTACAAAGTCTTACTAGTAAAGTTGAAA